CTAATGCTTATCCAATCAGCACTAGTCGATAGTTGGAGAATACTCTAGAATCTTCTCATGTAAAAAACCATAAATATACTGACGTTTTTCTCTATTGTGCTTCTGACTTGCATCTTACTTTCATCTAACCTTGTTATTTGGAATATAATCTCTTCCCTGTTTAACCGTGTTCTGATTTGGGGACTTGTCGAGTGAATCGGTGTCCGAGAATACTAAGCAATAGGAATAGCTGGGTCATAACCGTAAGAAAAGCGATTTATAACACCATAAATTATATTCTCATTGTGGAAAGCTTGAAATAATATTACAACTGAAGAACTAATGGCAAATCCAACTGAGAATGAACTATCTTATCGCGTAACTTGCAGAAAAACAGTGGTAGATTATTCATGATCACCTTTAGGAAAATATCAAATTCATGTTTTACCCATTGTATTTTACATTTCAGGCATCGAACAGTACCATTTCATTTTTTTGAAAATCTAATAATCAACTGACAATACTCATCTCTGCTTGACTGATAAACTAGTTCATACATATGACGCATATCATAGCTTACATTTTATGTGATAGTCCTAGTTTTCAATAATTCCGTAGTTGATATCACTTATCGAATAAGACTTATCTTTAAACTGTAATATAACCGATTCACTAAGGCTGAAGAGAAAACTAAAATCAATTACACACAAACGGAGCGTGTTACTGAAAACTTGAGCAACTTAAACCAAAAGAAACGACCAAGCATTAAAACAAAGGAAATAAATATCCATCAGGCTAACCAAGAAATTTTGAAAGCAGTTTACTTTAACTTTACTGACAAATATTACACTTTACTTCGACGAAATCTAACATTTCTCAAGACGAATTCTATATTAGTTATAATAGTATACAGATATAGTCGGCGGCCACTGTATCTATCTATCTTATTCAAATATAATCTTCAAGGTGCGCATGCATAATTTATGCGTACAATCTATACAGTTATTTAGATGACTGAAATCTATTTACATAAAACTAAGTGACTAACATTCAGACGACAGGTAAATGTCTTAATCATAGAAAAACCCATGAAATATATACACAAAGTGATCATCATCACTTCTCTAATTAGATTATAAAGGTATTGTGAACCAAATAAATCAATTAATTAGACAATAATATTCCAAATATAACTATTACATACATGTATACACAGATATATATAACTGGTCAAAGTAACGTGTTTGTTCGTTTATTCACTTTATAAGGTGTATTTGCTGATATTTATTGTATAAATCTTATCAAGAATGAAGGCATGATACACAGCGTTATATTTGTTTAATCTATTATAATAAAATTTATTTATTCTTTTAAAAACAATATCAGTATTATAAAAAGTGCTGTGTATCAGTCAGTGAGTCATACAAAACGTAAAACCTGACACATGTAAATCAGTTTAAATCGTCATAATACATTAGCTCAATGAGATAAATTAATTTTAACACAAATTCCAGAGTAGTAGAAATGGTAAGAGTATCAATGTTAGTAAGAAGAAAATCACGTATTAAAAAAGTATGATGAGATTTTGGGCCTCAGACTTTAAATGAAGACAATAAGGGAATACACATACCTGTGTTATTTATTGCTAACACTTTCGAAGCATGTCACCTGCAAAGTCATGACGAATCCTGTATATACATATATTATCAATAAATTAATATGTACTTCTTTTAAAAACATTATTAATAGTAGGAAATTTTAATCTTCTAACTACAATTACTACTTATATCTCTTGTCCAATATTTCAATAAATTCATTATAAAATGAAATGAATGGTACACATTATTTTTAAATAATATAAATTTAATATTTCCCTAATTTAGTATTATCAAGTGACATAATTCAACATGTTGCATAGAAACACAAAGAGAAAACAATTAAAACAAGAGGTACAAATCATAGTAACTAGTTTTATATTTATTTGAATGAAAATTCTTTTTAAATTTATTAAACAATGTTTTTTGAAACAAAAAACATAACCATAGAAAAAAGGTATTCATTATTACAATTTAAGACCTATAGTGATTAATTTTTACCAAGTAAAGATAAATTTAGTAGTGATGATACTTGTGTTTAAGTTCTTTATATATTTAGATAATTGAATGAATGAAACTTCTTCTTTAAAATAGAATATCATAAGTGAGTAACTATGTATTTGACCATTTTAATCAGCATTTATTTACAGATATCTAAATAAAAGTATTTTGTAGAGTAGTTGGAATTTGTGAGCTATTGGTTTTACAAGTTTGATATGCTCTAATTTACTAAACTACTGTGTTCCAAAACATTGGAAGTATGTATTCTCAAAGAGAAACTCAATGTTATATAATGTACGAATTTAGATATACTTAATTTTGCTGGTTCAATATTAGTAACAAGTAAGTCACTCATGAAAATACTCGAATCCATGACTACTACTGTTGTGATGGGAAATTATGATGAAGATAGTTTACACGACGTTCAGAAAAGTGTATTAATTATCTATTTCTAGAGTGAAACTATTATTATTTAAAAGGGATTCGCTTATTTTTATAAAGCACTTAAAACTGTACACAAACAGATTCAGTTGAAAATTCAAAGATTTAAAGAAAATATTTGGATTGCTGTTTGATGCAACCTAATGAACTTCCACTTATGAGCTGGCAATCAAATATTGTAATACCAATAAGATTAATTAAATTATTACTGCATCATAATGAGTATGTACATGTATGGCCCGTAGTTACCGTACAAAATATACTGACTAATTGACTAAAACAATGTTTGAAAGTTAAGTGTTAAATCCACTAATGTACAAGAGCTCTGGGAGAAGTAAAGTATTTCCCTAAACACATACAACACATCAAGCTATGGTATAAGCAATATTTAAAATACAATGTCATACTCACTACACAATGCATGAGAATTTTAGTGCTGATGAAAATTGTTTAAAACTATGGATTTATTACTGTCAGGTCATATAATCTAGAATAGACCATAGTGTGACCAACCTCTAACTGTAAAGCTTAAAAGTAGATGAAACGACAAACAGAAATCCACTATATCGCTTGTGTTCTACGAGAACAAATAATCAATCATTCACGAGATGAACAACTTATAGATCTTGAATGGATACATACCATCTCATTTAGCGGTTTAAAATGAGTATTCAATACTAGTGATGTGTAATAAATATTACCATTAAGCGATAAATTTATATACATGATATATGATTTAGGTCTTTTCAAGTGTTTTCCATTTATGATTTGTTTCTTTATTTTCCATCCACTATGATTAACAGATTGATTTGGCATTTATAAACAGTAATAATAATAACAATAATAAAAAGTAGTGAAAACAACAATTAAAAAATTAACATCTGAAACCGATAGATTCACTTTAGGCATGTAGGATTTTTCAGACACACAAAATACAACAATTAGAATGAATAGAAATAAGTATTCATTACTCTAATATTTACAATTTGGAACTGATTAATAGACTTATTTATTGCATATTTCATTTTGATTGCCATTAGTTTAGACTCATATACAGTGTAAGCTTGAAAATGTCAAATAGGTATACATGAAAGAGAAGAAAAACACAACAACAAATTCTACAATTCTAACCCTAAAGATAATAAAATTTCATTCAAATGTAATCTCTCATTATTGAGATATAGAATAATAGTATAAATGGACAACAGTTCCATATATTGATCATAACTGACAACAATCAGTTTAGTAAATATTTGTAATAGTATGAATAGTATTAGTAATAGATAGATAAGTGTGAACACTTACCAAAAAAATTAATATAATGCATAAATTTTATTCGGGACTAGATTTATAGAAAGGTCAACAAAAATTTAATTAATCTTAGTTGGGATTATCCTAAAACTTGAATGACATACAAAATATCACCATAGATTAGTGGCAAACAACGAGTACCATTTGTTTTAGATGAAAGAAAATCATAAGAATGTAATGTGTGAGGCATACAAATGTTACCATTAAAGGATAAATTGGGAATTTGCAATTTTCCTTCAAGAAGAAATCACATTTAACAAATTCACAGATAGTAGTAAGAATTTATAAATAGTATGGGAGGCATTCAACTTTATAGTTTACAGCACAGACAGACCATAGTTAGACAAAAATGGAAAACCAAGAAACACTAGATAGATGTTTCATTCAAGTACGGAACTCATGTGCTGATCAGTAATTTATTTTGAGAGGTTTCCAGAGATCTAGAGAGAGGCTGTGACTAGTAGAAATCAACTACGTCGGGTGTGAGCCGGTTACCCAAAAGTACTATTAGATGGTTGCGCAATATTGAGAACTGACCGAAGTTAAGTATGTAAGTCGATGTATACTACTGAGAGGTCCTATATCTATTTAATGCTTCTCAGTTGTCAATGGTTGTTTAATTAAGAACAGTCTTTAATGTAAACTAGAAAAATTTGTAATTCACACCGATGTATTAGATGATTTTGTTTTTATGTCGTTTTCGGTTAAAAGTGAAAAACAAGACCAATATCCATGATGGCGATTAATCACTGAAAAAAAAGTACACTCAAAATGGTTTTTCAATAAAGACATTAAATGATCAAGATATAAACACTTAAAGTACACAATTGTCATTTACAACTTAAAGTGAAGCACGTTAGGATTATTAAAAAAAAAAACAGATTTTAAGAAAAAACAATACCCTAGAATAAATGTAAACCATACTCATGGTGATACCAACACAATTAACAAAAGGAATGAAAAAGATTTACCAGTAATGTGCAAATCACGTTTTGTGTACATGCTTTCTTAGATTACCGGTAATGAACAATACAATTACACAACACTGTATACAATTAAGCAATAAAATAATTCCGAGTGACTTACAACAATCAAAGGATATGTTTTATACACACCAACTTTCGTAAAATTAGAAAAAGGTCCATCAATGATTAAAAACGTGTATACACTTACTTGTTGTTGTACAAATTGGTCTGTAACTACCTTGCTCAGACCATCATTATTATCTTCTAAGGATATAAGAGAGCCATTCAAAGCTCTTGAACGTTTAGCAGAATTTGAATTTTCTGAATTGTTTATTTCAAATAATGCGTGATGATGACAAGTAGAGTTCTGATTATTACTAATCGGATTATCAACTTGAGAAGAACCATTTCGACAAAGATCACATTGATTCTTATTATATACATCGAGTATATTCACTGAATGTGAATTGGTATACCTGGTATTATTATCATTATTATTTGAAGTATCACTTTGTGAACAATGATTTGATAACAATGATACACTACAATCACAAGAAATATCTTGATTATCAGTAGATGTTTGTACAGAATTATCACCATTTTTATTGTTCATAAATTGACTTTCAGAATGTGAATCAATTAGAACTGTATTAAAATTATTCTGAATAATTATCAAGAAACAAGAAAAAAATGATTAAGAAATTAGCCAGTAAAAATTTAAACACAGTAAACAGTCAAAGTAAGGCATAACTTATACAGGTGATATTGGAATCCTAAACTACTAATTACCAAGACGGGGGATGTTTGCCAGTGTAAGCATTGTGATTGGAAGAGAGCTATAAATGATCGAACCAACTCATGGCATCAATTCATGAAGCCATTGACTGTTGACCTGAGTTGTGCTGATAGATGCAAGCTACCTGGTTTAGGTCTGAGTGATAATCACGATCAGTGGGATATGATTTAATATCGGTCACAATGGAGTAGTTGGATTTACTCTTAATCTTACTCTACATCGTAAGTTTTATTACTCCTCCTTCATACCTTTGCTTTTTATCTTTTACAGCCATTTTCTCCATGCCTAATATTTATCATTATTCTTGCCGCTACATTATTTCGACTCATTTCTTATTCGTCTTAACAAGACAAGAATAATAACGAACGAAAAAAATCATTGTGTAGTTATTGACATACTTATACATAGAATTTATTTATTTATTTGAACACATAAATATTGGTACAAGAGGGCACCAAATATATACGCGCCACACAAAACAATGAGAATTTGAAGAGAAAAAAGGAGGTAAGGAGCGTGTAAGAAAAAAAAAGGACAATAACGAACAGATTAGTGTAAGGTAGTGTAATAATAATAATAGTAATAATAATAATGATGATAATAATAATAGGGGAAACAGAAACGTACAATCAGAAGAGATCTTTCAGTTAAGGAAGACACAACCACTTTTTATGAAGAAAGTAAAAGAAAGTTACAGCAGCACCGCCACTGGCTTCTATTCTCAGCCATATCTGATAACGTCTCTAGACACTGTGTTGCACTATCTCTCGGACCACAGCCAGGAAGTCGTGAAGAACCTGTAGCGTGGTGTCGAGTTGAGGTTAACTATGAACACCGCTACCAAGAAACACGTGCCAAATAGATCAGAAGGCGTAAGAAGCTCGTTCCAAATGACTCCATAAAATCCCCGAGAAGCCGAATATCAGAAGGCAGTTAATGGACCAAGTCGAGGTTTATTAGCTGGCGATCTCGTGGCATCGAAAGGATACCGAGATCGTGCCAGGATACAACCTTGGTTACAGAAGGTAACCGAATTCGCGCGAAGTTACAATCAAAGTGTAAGTATAAGAATGGAAGCACGAAATAGCTGTCATTAGCACAGTCAAACAAAAGCACGTTAAAACAAACACTGGTACAGCTGGTTATAATAATAACTGTTTTTTATTAAACCAGTCGTGTTCTCGTGATAAACGTGAGTCACTACAGGAGCCCCCCGCTAGAAAGGGTTCACACTTTCGATTAATAGCGGTTTGAATCGTGGGACTGATCGGCTGACGAGCGATTGTAGGACGGAAGAATTGGCGAACAGGAAAGCGATCGTTGATCGTCGAGTTGCCAACGGAGGTCGTTTTCGGAGAACGGTACCAGGAGCGATGTGTTGTATTTGTTGCTTGAGTCGGCATGCTACCAGAGTGGTTTGTATCCAGAATCTGAAGAGGGCGTTCGTACGGGTCCGGACCATAAACGCTGCAGACGAAGGACGAAACCACGTTGAGCCAAAAGACCAGAAGCGACCATAACGACCAAGTTCGAGACAAAGCGTAGGCCAAGAATTCGAAACCAATATATCGACTGAGTACGTTGACAAGAGCGTGGGTGATCAGACCAGCTTTCGCCAAAGTTGACTGAAGTCGACGGAACCAAACGGAGATGGTCGAAGGCGTGGGCTCGAATTGGCTTCTTTGGAAGATTTGATCAGAAGTTGAGGCGTGTTCCAAAATACGGGTCACCAATATGTTATGGATAATGTCCTCAATATCTGACTCCAAATAATAATATCCCGTAACTGAGTATTTTAGCTAGGCTTAATCTCCTAGTAGAATTGCGAATTTACTCGAGATTATTAAAAAGCCTGAACACCAGTTATAGAGATAGTTTATTGTTAATGAATAATAATAATCCACAAGCGCACGATGAGCAAGCACACGATGAAACAGAGAGAGTATGTGAGTGAGTTAAAAATCCATATATATTTGAGAGTTAATCGGGTGTGGATAAATTATCGATTATCTGCACATTGCAACCAATAGGAGAATAGCTTAAGAGTTAATGTACAGACATGCATTCGATCATACACACCGAAATTAACATAGTGAATTGAGTCTGAGTTACAATGACTAGACAAATGATACAGTAGCCAAAAGGGCTTGCTACAAACCAACACAAGCCAGCCCTTCGCAACTTTCCTTCATACCTCGACACCATGTCATATACTGACCACCTCTCCGCTTTTTCCAACCAGTCCCAGAGTCGGCAAATAATGCACGACGTGGAATTCTCTGGGACGACATTCGTAGAACATGTCCAAGCCACCGAAGTCGATGTTTCAAGATGGTGACACCAATTGCATTATCGTCTCTGTGCCCGAACACACGATGCCGAACCTCTGCATTACTGACATGGTGTTGTCACTGGATGTCAGCAATCCTTCGGAGACAGCGACGATCGAACACAGAGAGTCGTCTAACATCCTCAACTCGGAGAGGCCAGGTTTCACAAGCACAGAGCAAAACCGCTCTCACCAACGCGTTGTAGATCCGACCTTTTACAGCCAGACTAACATCATGAAGGCGCCAAAAATGGCCCAGATTGGCATAAGCCGCTCTGGCTTTCACTATACGTACATTGATCTCATCACTCACGCCACCACGCCACACCATCCACATTCATTCCAAACTTGTCAATTTTACAAGACATTTTTTATTGGAACACATACAACACTTTAATGTTATTATTTACACCATTTACATCATATTTATTCATTATTTATATATCCTCATAGAATTAATGCTTATATGATTGTACAGTATGATAATAAATTTGTACAGAAGAGGTCCTTTTGCTGAACTTCGTGTTTCCAACATACGAATTATCAAAAATACAAAAGTACACAATAAATAAGTCTTATTTCTCTATAAGAACATACTTTACACGATTATTCAGGGTGTAATGAGTATCGATGATAAATAATAATGAGGAAAATTCACGCCTAAAGACACAATAGCCGAAATGTAAGAAACATGGTTTTTTTTTGGTTAAAAAAAGTCCCCATTAATTTGTCGTACTGTATAAAAACGCCTAATTTATATTTCTATGTGTAAAATGGTGGAATAATTTATGTATGACAAGAAGAAAATATAAGAAAACGCCCATATATTATGACTTGAGAGGATTTTAATATTATAATTATAATATCATATGATATATTAGTTTACTTAAGAATTCAGCAAAAATTAATTCAAGTTAATAATTAACATAGATATTACAAATTACAATATCAAGTATAACTTATGGTAGAAAAAGGATTGACTTTACAATTCATCAAGATGACTTTCTGAATAATTTGCAATCAGTTGAAAATCATTGTAAATTAAATGATTGTTAGTATAAGTAATTTAACGATTCTTGTACTATGATTTTACTCTCATGTGATGTGTGAAATAGAATTTTTAGAAAAAAGAGATACAATACTACATAGAAGAGATTCAATAACAAGATGCAGTATACATTCAGTTTTCTAATAAATAGTTGTACTAGCATTACCGCCTGATGTACATGTTGTCTGTAGTACAAATTATATTACATTGTAAACATGTATTGCATTAATTGTTAACAGAATGAACAGTTGATGGTTGGTAACTACTTCATTTTACAGTCAGTTATGAAATACTTAAAATACAATTTTCAGATCAAATTATACTACTTTTTATCATGACAAATTATTTCTTTATTTTAATGTATGTATATCGGTGAAATGATAAATATTCTACTAACGAACCCACACATGATATTGAATAATTTCATTGAGTACATCTAATTAAACTAATTAAGAAAGACGTTAATTATAAGTTAAATTTTTGTTTAAAATGATAGAAGAATCGAAAGTAAATCACCGCAATAGAAAGATTATTAAACCTGACTTTAAAAGATTCCAATTTAGTGCTTATATTGTATGCAAATCAATTCTTAAAAGAAAAGAAAAGAAAATCCTCAAATATGTGATGTCATACATTTGGATCTCTCGATAAATTTTAAATTAAGTGAGAAAAACAAGATTTTGCAAAATAATATGAACTCATTATGTTTCAAGGCTTCTTCTCTTCAGTTGGAAACGACCTAAATTTTACATCAGTAATAATATTCACTTCACCTGTAGCTCTTCTAGAGTTACTGCCCGTCCCAAGCCTGGGTTAAGGAGAAGGGTTGGGTATGAGGTCGGCAACCCCATCCTGTAGAGAAAAAAACTTTCTAAAAAAGCCTCAACCAGATTAAACAAATTAAATGATTTAAACTCTGTTCTCCATGTTCAAGAGAGAATTATGTTTCAGGATGGAAGCCAAGATTCTTCGAAAATCACGAGGCTGATGCCACTTCTAACTACCAGAGCAACAATTTCTATAGGTACATGAAACGTCCGGACAATGTGGGAGACCGGAAGGACCAGTCAAATAGCTACGGAAATTAAGAGATACAACTTGGCAGTACTTGGAACCAGCAAAACCCATTGGACCCAGGCTGGACAGCAAAGGCTAGATACGGGAGAGATGCTGCCGTACTCCGGTCACCAAGGGAAAAATGCTCCACACACTCAAACAGTTGCTCCGGTGCTGTCCAAAGAAGCACGAAATGAACTTATAGAATGTGAATCTCATGAACCCAGGATCAGCAAAGCATCCTTCAAAACAAAGGAGGGAATCACGATGAATGCTATCCTAAGTTATGCACCCACTAATGATAGCAACGACGACAATAAAGACCAGTTCTATAAGAAGCTTCAATCAATCATCGCGGAGTGCCAAAGAAAGGACCTCACTATCCTGATGGGAGATCTAAACGCCAAAGTCGAAATGGACAACACCGAATATGAGGATATCATGGGATGACATGGACTGACTGGGATATTGTAACGAGAATGAGGAGATATTTTCAATCCTATGTTCATTTAACAGAATGATTATTGGTGGCACAATATTCCCCCATAAACGCATATACAAAGCTACATGGGTCTCAGTGGATAACACTACAGAGAATCAGATCGATCACTAAAAAATTCAAAAGGTCAGTGGGAGACGAAAGAACAAGGAGAGGAGCTGATATAGCTTCAGATCACCACCAACAGGTGGTTGCCAAGATGAAACCGAAGCTAAAGAAACATTGGACAGCTGGGGAAACAGCAGTACAAAGGTTCAATACAGGCTTCCTACGAGATACTAACAAACTCAACGAATTCAAAATAACTCTCAACAACAGGTTCCAAGCCTTACGGGATTTACTGAAGGAAGAAGAAACTACTATGCAGGAAAACTGGAAAGGGGTCAAAGAAGCATTAACTTCAACGTGTCAGGAGGTGCTGGGCCGCGAGAAGCATCATCATAAGGAATAGATCTCTATAGAAACCCTGGACAAGATTCAAGAAAGGCAGAACAAAAAGACAGAAATTAACAACAGCCAAACACGAGTAGAGAAAGTCAAAGTACAAGCTGAATACACAGAGAAACAGGTGAATTAGTTCTAACCAAGTTGGTAAATAACAAAATAGTTAAGTTTTAAAATATCCTTTTTATATTAAGTGAAAGTGTACAGAAAATTTTATCTCTATATTAACTAGAGGGACACTCATCACGGCTCAATCTCAGTTGAAATTTACAAAACTAATGCACTGTTACTACCTCTAGTACGCTGGAATTTGCCGTAAAACTTTCATTTCGCTGTGTTAATGAAACGTAGCAACTTGAACGGAAAAAATGTTCCATGACTAGCGTTGATTTCGAAAAATATTTGCATTCACTGGGGTACAACCAGGGGATGGTGGGAAGAAAGTTAGGGGCGGCCAAACCAAAATGTGGCATCAGTGCTTGAAGTCACTAACTTCTGGTCTGAGCCATGTTGGTAGATGCAGACTACTTGGTAGGGGTCTGCGCGACCATCGTAACCAATGGTTAGAAACTATAGGTAACATGGCTCAGAATCGATCACAATGGCGTAGATGTATACACTCTTTATCTTCGCTTAAACCGTGAGATTAAAATTACTTTATACCTTTCTTTCTACGAACTAATTCTTTCTTCCTTTATTATATTTTCATATGCAACCTTTCTTTTATATATTATCACCATTGAATTAACTACTTCTGTGAATTCGGTGTTCATCTTGTTGTGCTAATGAGGTGTGTCAACTTGGACCGATGCATATACATGCCTCGTCCTAGGTTGTAACTGACTGACTGACAACCAAATGATGTAAGAAATAAAAATGAATAACTATACGTCGATCTGTAGTATCACAGGAAAAGTCAATCACGGATGAGTCAGCTTAGGTTATCATAGTATATTAGAATAAAAAAAAATGAAATTGACAATATATTATTCATTCTTTGTGATTAGTCGACCTACATATGTGCCAGTTTCTACGCTGCTTATAACTGACTGATTGAATCAACCTTAATCAAACGCCCTGGTAAGCCCGAGAGTGGGGAGAGTCACGCGTATACAGCCACTGCCAGGGAAGTCCTGCTCACTGCCTTCTCGTGGCGGTTGTGTTATTTGCGAAATTGAGAGGACGAAAAGCGAATGTTCGACGGTTTAACCGAGTTGACATACACGGAAGGTTTAACTAGGGGATTTGGAAAACCCTGATTCCAAACCAATGGTGTACATTGGCTCCAGGATCCTGAGGGAACAAAAAGCGTATGAACTTATTGTTGGTCACATGCTAACATGGGATTGCATCTCCGAAAGACGCTCCACTGCCCTGTGGATTAGACCTCTAGGTCAAGGGCTCGGGGAGTGCCTCCTAAGAAAACCACCTCCCATGGCTTGGGTACCCGAGTAGTATCTCAGCCTTCACACGAATCAAATGATGAAGTGTGATTCATATGATTATTAGTGAATTGAAAATGCGGGGCGATACTAAGCTTACAGCTTGGAGAAAGAGAAAAAATCCATCTGCCTAAATGATACTTATTTTAAGCTATAACCTAAGTCCTGGAATAAGCTGAATGTACGGAATGCTTTGAATGCATTTATGTTTAAATAATAGTAACAAACAAATAGAAAAAGTGTAAAAGATTGCTAACGCGGCTTTTGTATTTTTTTTAAGATTCTGGAAACCCCTAATGGCACGAAATCTGCCTTGTGGATTAGACCTTCAGGTCAAAGGCTCCGGGTGTGGCCCCCTAGGAAAACCACCTGCTTCAGTTAGGGCACCCGGGCAGTATCATAGCCCTTACACAAATTAATGACAACTGTTACTGGTCTCATTGTTATTGTGTGGCGCATATGTATTTGGTACCCCCTTGTACCAATATTTATGTGTTCAAATAAATAATAAATCTGAATGACAAATCCGAAACTTATTGAAGTAAGATAAACTTAACAAGGTAACACTATGTGTCAGAATTTTGAGACTGATAAAAATTATAAGAGTGGGTCAAGTATCCCTTAATTGAATAAGAAAAAGAGGATTCAGCGAAGAAATTTTTCTTTTTGACGAAATCATTTACTTAAGCTGTACACTCGTACATATAGTTATATCGAAAATGTATGTCTGTAGAAGGATAGAAAGGATTGTATCACAAAAATGGATTCGAGAATAAATAACAAATGTACAGCTTAAGTAAATGATTTCGTCGAAAAGAAAATTTTCTTCGCTGCATTCTCTCTTTCTTATTCAATGACACTATGGGTTATTTTAATTATCCCTTTATTAATAAATGTCAAAATAAAATTGACTATAGGACGGGTAAACCTGCAGTTTTTTTGTTGTGGGTGAAGATAAACAGCATTACTTGGTTAGCTATTCGGAGCCGGTGAGACCGAGTCATGAGACAGCAGATGAGTTGTCTAGATGTGGTACAAGTATTGATTAGCTCAACTGGAATGTCTATCTAGTACTAATGACCTTCAGCTGACCATGGATACGTTAAATTTGGGACAACAGCCGATAGTAACATTAATTGACTATTGGTCTAGAATGCAACTTCCCATACTCCCCCTCCCGGTAGCCCGAATAGAGGATAACTCAGTGAGCAGACAGCTTTTAATTATACAGTTCGAATGCATGAATCAATTAAACACTGATACCGAGAAAAATCATGGTCATGCATCAACAGAATTCAGAAATTAGAATACTGACATAACCATGTCACAAATGGAAGTCAACTGAGTGATAAGTTCGTAAAAAATTAGTCACAATTCAGAAAAGGTAAAACACATAATAATCATTTGTGTCAGCGAAAGGGTGAGAAGTAGGGAAATACAAAAACATAATGGTTAAATTATTTAATATTGATACAAAATTATAAACAATAACTTCAGATAGGACAGTTTCGAAAATTCACTTACGTTTAATATTTATTCCGACATGGTAATTCCCACATTCAGTGAGTGAACAACGTTGATAAACTCAGTTTCGTGAGTAGTTATTCATTAGCTGTATATCATTTTGTTCAATCAGTTTATCGGAATTCAATTATTTATCTATACTTTTAAAGTCTAACGATCAAGAACGTAATCAGAATATTCAATATTTACCTAGCACCACGAAGTCCGAGAGTTCCCTGATAAAATTCATCAAACTCAATGTAATCAGTCAGAAAGTCAAACGCAACGTGTAACCTGGGACACTTGTATATCGGTTTAAGTTACCATGCCCCAATCAACACAGAAAGATGAAATCAGGAAAATCCCAGAGTAGAAAAGGTAGTAACAATATTAGTTGTAACAGAAATGATTAGGCATCAAAGAAACTATTTGAGAAAGTATAAAATAGCGAAATAAAAAAATCATGAGGAATTAAGAGGCCTAGGGTTCGGGAGAAGAAAAAATAACGAATGCACTTGTGCCATTGCAAACTATTTTGAGCCAGGTCACCCAAGGTTTCTAACCACTGGATACGATAGTCACATGGATCCCAACCAGGTAGCCTACACCTATTGACATGGCTCCGTTCAATTATCAGTGACCTCATGAACTGATATCATGTTTCAGTTTAGCCACCTCTAGCTTGTAACCCACTCCTACACCAGCCTTCATCACGCATCGAAGTAGTCAGTGGATACTCAATATATTAACCCCAAAGATAATTACCAGTTTCAATTACAATTTTACAAAATAAAACTACTCCATGCTTTATTCTTCTGTTTATCAAAGCCTAAGAAAACAATAACAACAAATCCAATCTTAGGAATTCAATAGCATCCTCACAAATTATTTGGCAAGTGATTAAGTGTTTAGAACAATAGATCACAACAGGTCACAAATTCACTACATAAAATGTTTTAAAAATTTTAACTTACAGAATTTTTATTCGTGTGATCATCATCAGAAATTGTATTGAAGTTGGAAGATTTCTGAGATTTTGCTTTTCGTTTATTTACAGTTATTTCTAAGTTAGAAGTAGATTTACAATTATCCATTTTTTCATTATCAATTCTTTTCAAATTAATCACTGCATGAGTAGTAAAATTATTTGTATTATTATTATTATTACTACCATGATATAAACAATTTATTTCACTTTGATCTTGTGAATGTTTTGCTTCCAACTCATCAATTTCACGTTCCATACGAACTAAGTACGGTAGATCAGTGAGACCGTAACGACTTGCAATACGTGCAACCTCCATTAGGGTAAGTAAAACATTTTTCTCTTCGGTCTTATTCACTAAAGATAAAAATATTATTAGATGAAAAAAACATTAAAAGTTAAGCGAATCCATGGAATAAAATTAGTGGTAGTAGTATTCTTTGAATTTAATGAATCGATCATTATAAAAAGCTTGATTTGATAAGTGCACAATTTTAGAAATATCGTAGCAAGAGTGACCTTGAAATTTCTATATCACTTGTAAACCATCAAGTAAATCAACAACCGAAATCAAAAGTATGTTACTACAATAACAATGAGTGTATATAACGCTTTATTTATAACCTGTACGATCGATTTTTTCAATGTTAAAGTAGATTATTTTCAATTCAAAGAGTAACTATAGGGAAGCACATATTGTATGCTGATCATAAATACTTTTATAAACGAAATCATATATTCTTCTTTTCTACAATATTTACACGAAGACTCGCCAGAAAGCCGATGAAATAACTTCGTGATGTGATAACATGAAACGAAGTTTTCCCTAAGTTTCTAAACATTTGTACGACATTAAAATGTCTAATTTTCTATACGTCACAACCGATACGATTTAGTTCAGAATTTACTTTAAACAAATGAGAAAGGAATGAGTCTTGAATAAATGGTGTTTCTGATAGAATCTACAACACATTTAAAATTTTCATCTAATTTCTATATCCTATTATTTGTATGACGTCAGGAAAATACTTTTTAAAGAGAGCAAGAACAAAGATTGGTGCAGAATAATATGAATTCATTTTATTTTGTTAGGTTCTCATCAGCTGCTTACAACCTAAAATATTTGAAATTCAACGTTATTATAGATATTGACATACTCATACATTAAAGGGTGATGAAGGATAAATACATGTGTATCATGATGTAGCAAAGATTGCGTTAGAGTTAATGAGGTCATAAAATTTTGTTTCGAATATATAGAGTTTGGGAGGGAAGGTTCCAGAGCATTGAAATAGTGGTTAGAAATCACGGAATTAAAACACATTAGATTATTATGCAATGAAATAACTGGAAATAGATTAATGGTAATAAAGAGAGATATGAATTGAAATCGGTCAGTTATGAATGATGTAATTATAAAATTCAGAAAGAGTTGGAATGACGTAATAAATAAAAGTGGGGGTAATGTTACCAGGTCAAAGAAAGGTTTATTACTGTTTCTTTTTGTATACAAAGATCTGGTTTTAAATGTTTGATTGCTATCGCTTCGGCAAATTTCAAAAGGTTTGAATTTGATTGTTTGTTGATCACCTTGAAGGACTTCAATATATCGACTTCGTGTCCTGTGTCAAGGAGATGTCTTGAGATAGTGCTGCTGAATGCTTTTAGTCCATTTGATCTCAAACCCTTCGGAATATGTTCTTTGAATCGGACGTAGGCTCTCCTTTCTGTTCTAACAATGTAACTGCTTTGGCAGATACATGTACATTTGTATACACAGTTGGTGGTAACATGAAAGGGATACATGTCGACCTTTGATTGTGTCAAAGAACGTGTTGTTTTGGACAGGACAATCAGTTTAGCTGCAGGATATGTTTTTGTCAATGCAGTTTTTAGTCTCATATTGATTGATCCTGTGACATCGTCACCTTTGAATTAAATTTGAATAAAAATAGGCTTTTTATTTACTGTAATTTCTTCACGTTTCCCATATTTCTCAATAAATTTCAATGGGTAGCCGTTATTCCTTAAACACTTTTTAACATTCATAACTTCCTTTTCTATTGTATCGGCAGTACATATTCTTTCTGTTCTGTGAAACAATGTTTTGACCAGTGCCTTTTTGTAACTGATTAGACAAAAGCTATTGAAATAATGAAGGGAACTATTTGCATGAAAATAGTTTTTTCTTATCACTTGTAAACTATCCAAAATGAAACATACCACTTATAAACCTCATCATAATATTCAAGTTACTTCTCATAGAAACAATAAACATCGCTATCTTCATCCTAATTAGTTTTTTTTTGTTTTAAAGCATGTTTGCCAGAAATCAATTGATGCAAGCAAATAAACATACATTAATGAAGATGTAAGAAGGAAAAACCATTTTGACAAGGATAAAAAATCAAATTAAATTTCTTTTCTTGCCGAAACTATAAACACAGATATCATTTGAATTGTGTCAAACATTGACTTATGATATGGATATACTATTAAGTTGATGAAAAATTCACAATTTCCTTCTGTTATTTACTTTAATTGTAAAATAACATATAATTTTGACATGATTAATCAATCTATTAATTTTGTTATATGTGACAATATTATGTACATTAATTTAAATCTGTTTCATACAGAAATGACAAATTATTAGTCTTTTGAACTTAATTATCAATATAACTAATTATGTTTGTCATTGGGAATTATGATAATTTTCTGTGAAAATTTCTTAGTTTACTAATGTATACAATAATAAAACGTTTTAAGTATTTACTTAATACCACCTTATCAACTGGTTTATTAAAATCATATGATAGTGTTAATATGAAAATAAAACTGAACATTTATGCGTAACATTTGTGAATGTTCCAAAAGGAAAAAAATCAATGTAGTTTAGTCAGCATTTCTCATACAAAAAGAAAACACTCTGTCGTTAATTATTGTGAATGTATGTGTTATAAAGGTAAATTACATGTAATTATAATAGAATATAAAGTATAGATAACGAATACTCTATGTAATTAATCCATGTATCACTACTAAATATATCAGGATTAAAGATTTAATTTTGAGGAGGCGTATTACTATTATTATTACATGATAATACAATTAATATGCTTCGATAGTTATTAAATAGTATCATCTTATTAATAAGAATCGGTAGCAAACTAGTTATATTTTATGTTAATCATTGAATACATAACTATTCAACGATGAAGTATAAAAATAATCATATTTAGTAAGATGAAATTACAAAATTGTATTCTAAGTGATGACTCAATCACGATTATAGAATTAGAAAAAAAGAGTAGGTGATATGACACTGAATAAGAAAAAGAGAATTCAGAGGAAATTTTCTTCTTAACGAAATCATTTACTTAAGCTGTACATTAGTATATATAGTTATATGGAAAATATAGGTCTATAGGAGGATAAAAAAGATTGCATCATAAACTGATTCAAGACTCTTATTATGAAATGAGGTTACGTACGAAAAAGGAAGACCTACATTTTCCATATAACTATATATACGAATGTACAACTTAAGTAAATGATTTCGTCGAAAAGATATAACGTTATATATAAACCTCAAAATATATCTTAAATGGATGTTTCCTAGTATATTCTACACTTGAAATAATCAACTACTTGTTTAAGCTTTTGTTTATTTATTTATTTCGTTCTTCTTTCTTTATAAGTTTAATAGTTAAATCATATTGTGAATTCTTCTCAAATAACGAGTGTAATTAATGGGTTAATATTATCATAATCATAATATTAATGATAATATGTAACTGATGTCTTTGTCTTTATCTTATACAATTAATTATATCATTATAGAGTTCATTAATGTATTCATAAAAAGTAATTTTTCTACAAACAAAATTTATATAAAAGTAATTTACTTAAGTTATATTTATCACGTGTTTTTTTTTCTTCTAAAATCAATTTTAGATCTATGATATTCTCCTTAATCATAAAGAACTTTTGGTTCATCATGAAAACTATATTCTAGTTTAATTTTATTAAATTATAAATATATTATAGAATTATTAACTATTTAAGATGATACATCAATTAATTGTAATTAACGTAGAATCTAATACAAACGTATATTGTCTTATAAGTTGTCACATATCATATCAACATATATAGTAAGATAAGATGATCAAGTTGCATAGTTAAGAAATAGAAAAGAGTAACATCAGTACGAGTAAAGACATACTTTACATAATAGTATACTGATATCACTAAAAGATTTAGGCTGAACAACATTTGAAAATTTCGAAGTACTAGATGGCCATTTTGTCCTAGTATAAGACTCTTTAGAAGTGAACGTTCATGAAATGGCCATTCAATGCTTCCGAGCTATCATCTAACTTAAATAAGTTCTTGATATCAATAAAATGGAATCTTCATCGTTATACAGTAGGCAAATTTTTCGGTGTCCTACAAAACATAAACATCGATATAAAAAATTTTTAAAAGGATATACGTAACACCCTCTCAATATGAAACTTATTATTCAAGAAGGAATTAATGAAATTGAGCTGCAAATTACATTCAGAGTATAAAAATTAATCAAGCTAACTGACTTTAAATATCGAAGATTGGGTCCAACATAGTCAATGTTTCAATGAATGAATATCGACTGAATTACTTACTCAATAGGAAACCTTTTTATCTGAATTTAATTAAACCAGTAAAATCCATGTATTAGCTTATTGATGACAACAACGAACTATGACTAGCTAGTAGTTAGTTAGAGGACATTCCCTATTTGTCTGTTAGGTGCTAAAAATAGCAGACAATAGTAGTAGTAGTAGTAGTAGCAGTAGTATACAAATTTTCTCTCATTATTCTAAGATCACGTTAACTGATAAATATGTGTAAAGCAACTAAGCTTTTGAAAAAAAAAACAGAAAACTAACAGTAATGTAAAGTACAGACTGCTTATATACACCTACTTTACACTTTAAAGAATGGACTTCACAAACTTATGAATATAGTCACATGATGTACGTTGTTGAATAGTAAAAATATTTATTTCTCATTAAGACTATATTTATCATTTTATCAGGAACTAATAAGCCATCAACAATAATTTACAAAATTATTCTGAATGAGAAGTAACAAAAGGCAGAGATGGGTGCCAGCTAGCAGAGGATCCCAGAATGCGCGTTTCGTCCTGTTTGGTATTCGTCAGTTGAGTGAAGCTGGTGTTATTGATGAATTTGGTGTTCACCCCGGGACTCGAAAGAAGTACCCTCCACTTCAAACGTTATCGCATTGTCCATCTAGCCACTAGATTGTGCAATGAGGTGAAGTCTAATTCATTTGTATTGGTTGGTTGAATCTTCTCATCAATGTTCGGGACTGCAAGTGATCAGTCTCCTTTGGCATTTGTGCAGGCTGTGTGGATCATCTCGATATTGCATTAAGTCACAAGCATTATAAGCAAAAATCGAAGTTGGTTAACAGACTGATCAATTTCAGTCCTAAACATCAATGGGCGGATTCAAACAACCAATAAAAATGAAAAGTAATAACAGTTTACAACTATCAATATTTAGCATTTCGACATTATAAGGAAAAACTACGCTGCTCAGACACTTAATCCGAATCTCCGTTGTAACAGTAACAGACAATAAAGAACATGTGTCAACTGTTGTATTCAGTGATAGTTTACTGACCTTGTCCTATAAAACTTCACATTGGACTTCAAAAGTTGAGATAGTGGAAACATTCGTAGTTTAGGTGGATAATTTGGTGAGGTTTCGTCCGCTGAGTTGGAGTAAACCTCACATTTGCTTACATAAGACTACACTTTTATCGCACCAACGATCGAATCCACGGCGACGGGCATTTCGTTCTAGTATGGGGATCGTGGATATGCACTGATGGGGAGTCCTATACAAGAACGAAAAGGCAATCCACTACTTCCAGATTTTCAATAGCGGTCTAATTTAGACCGGTTGATCATTTCATTAATGAACAATAGTCTGAGTGAATAGTTACCTGTATAATGACAATCATGGCCAGAACCCATGACGAACAATAAGCACGGAAAAAGGTTGCATTTCCAATGAAAGAAACAAACACTACGCTAGTGAATTCACTATAATATCGTGTAAACCAGTTTAAAATAATCAAATAATTCACTAACTCCACATTTATAACGTCATTTATAGTGAATCGATCAATGAGGGTCAATCCTGTATTTGATCAATACTCTGAGTAATCATGGTGAGTAATAAAGATACGAAAATTTAGTGATAAATAAACAACTTTCATACCAGTAAAATATTACTATTGGAAAGATAGTGAAAGACAAACAAACACATTCAAAATAACCTATAATGTTTACAACTACAACTGATTATGTATAAACAATATGTGGTCTTATTATGCAAATAAATATATTGAAGTTATTAAATAGAAAGGGATTCTGAGTCAAGAGCTACAAGTTGTCAAACTTCGATAATATTACTCAGTTTGACTGAGAGGGTTATTTATTCTCATTTTCAAATTGATTAACTTCATAAGTTACTCCATGTTATTCAGGTGAAAATTCTTTTCTAAGAAAAACTTTACTCAACATTTGAATAAGTGAAATCAACTGATTGGAAGGTATTCCTCATCATGAAGAGACTTAACTGGTTTAAATTCAAAACTACACGCGATTGGGGATAAGCACTGGTTGAAAAATCCAACCTTTGATTCAAAACAATTATCCAAAGTTTTATAGTCCTAAATTAGGACAAAACAGCTTTACGTTGCTACTCAATCATTCAGTAGTTTTCTATGATTCATGTTACCTTCTCACGAACCTATCTCTAAAGTTACTGATGTCTTGTAATTACTATTAACATTTATTTGAGGGCTCCGTTAGATTAACCAAGTAGTTTTAAGTATGACATTTCTCTCATTCCATTAAACTATCGGAAGTAAATATTTTTCCTCAATTTAAGCATCCATGATTGTAGACGAATTAATTAACTTACTTAATCCATTTGTTTCAAATAATATTGTTTCTGGTACACCCAAATCTTTGCACCATTTAATAAACGCACTAACATTATCACGAGCTATCCAACGATCAGCAACTCGAGATTTTATTGAGATATTTTCTTTAGGAAAATCCATATCACAAGTTGACATATTTGAATTACGTTTATGAGCAGAAGGTTGTGATGAAAAGGAACAGAGATCTGACGGACCAAGTGGTAGTTTAGCACAATCAGTTAATGTGGAGGGAAATGATGGTAATGAAACTGGAGTAAGATTTTTCAAGTCACGATTGGACACTGCACCTCTCAGAAATTCATATGAACGACCATTATTATTATTGTTATTATTATGTGTTGATTTTGATTTTAATGCAATCTGATAACCTGATTCCAAAATCGAATAATGTAGTTTTATAAGCTAGTCTAGAGAGCCACAGACCTGATGCTAAACGACAAAGTAGATAATGTGCTTCTATGGGACATGCGTTAGCCGTTGAAAATAAATAATGTTGTAACCATTCCGTAAGATCTTCACGAACAACACACATAGATTCGTCAAGTATCTGAGAATTCAAAAAAAACATAAGAGTTCTTTTAAAAGTATTGTATACACATAAAACTAAAAGAAAACAATGAATCTACACAGACATGTACAAACAAGTTAATGAACTGATATTATCATGGTTAATTCTTATTATCCTACATTACATGTCAGTGATCAATAAAACGGGATTTTAAGGTGAATGTTATCCAAAAAACAAAGACTGTTGGATCGACTACTGTGTAAAATTAACTTTCAACACTAATTCTTTTTAATTTCCTGAACTCTGAAATTGGGAAGCAACTTAAATTTTTAAAAAAAGAATTATTTCACAAAGCATTGGCAATTGGATAACTGATAAGTGTGTGCTACTAAACAATTCATTATCAGTAACAAAAGTGGTCGTAATATATTACAGACTGAAAAGGTTACAGTTAACACATAAACCGAATTAAGAACAAATTTACAAGTGATGATGCATTAGGGATGTAGTTGATACCCTTCACGGCAGAGCTGAATCATTTACTCGTAGTATTCAACCATGTCTCGGAGAGGAATACACTATAGAAACAGACACGCGGAGCAGCAGAAAAAATTTTAGGCACATGTTACAATGTCCCATATCAGTATGCTCAAAGAAAACTAACACGAGGAAACAAAAGGACAGAATACTGATGATAATCCTAGTAAGTATGAGAAAGTAAGAGAATAAAGACATTATGCACAAATAATTTCAAGGGACACAAAACAGACAATAACAATAAAAATGGATTTCGGCTATTGGGATAGACTTTGAGTCATGTCACTCAAAATGTCCAACCATAAATAAAGATTAAATTCCAGATCATGACTAAGAAGCCTACACAATAATACAATACAATATTCAGAAACTCAGATTGGGCGGTGGTCTAATATGGTTGCCCATATTTAATTACGTTCACAATAATTTCGTCTAGATTTCTAACTATGAATGTTACTTTCTCGTGATAGACAAATGGGATTTATTCTGTGTAGTGTTTCTTACCATGAGTTGTTACTTTAAATAATGTAGGCCAAAAACTACAACTGATATCTATGATTTTCACTTGTTTATTAGTGATTAAAGGCGAAACTATGTCAACTTACATACATGCATCAGTCACACCCGAAATTGTGACTCATCTTACAATACATAACAAGTCAAGTTATACTAACTACCAATCACTAGATCAAGAAACTATAATGCCACACCCCATTGATAATTATAAAGGACGAACTTTATCATTTATAAATTTACACATATAATTGTGATGTCTTGTATATTTGACTATAATATATATATATATATAATTGTTATTTAATTTATGATTCTATTGACATCTTCGTCCTTGAGTTAATTTTCAAAGTATACATCTACCTACATATTATTGTATACGATCATTTCCTCTTGTGGACCATGCATTAGTGACAGTGTAAATTTGGCTTAATTGAACCCAGGGAAGTTACAACTAAAAGATTTTCTCAAGCATGATTCCCAATGACCTATCTCTTTGCTTTATCTCCCTATCATGAGACTAGATTGGGAAACATACTAACAGCAGCAACACTGAAACATTGCAGTAGTCGGTGAAGACGCTATACGTTGGTATAAGTCATGAAAAAAGTGTAGGCTATCGGCGATTGGATGACTTAAAGCCTTCTATGATAGCCAGCATACACTGAAAGTACTGTTCTCTATCCTACATTTTCTGGTCTCATTTGTGTATAAGGTCTTTATTCTTTTACTTTCTTAATCCGCTTTTTTGCCTTTCGCTTGCCAGTTTCCCTGACTTTGCAGCTCTGAAGTGTTTCAACTTCATGAACACTCATTACTCATCTTTTGTGCTTCGATAGAATAATCGGTGAGACTATAATTTATGGACGACTTTTTAGAGACGCTAAAAAGACCTTGAGAATGTCTATCTACATACTACGGCTAAATGATGATTATAAACCAGTGTGAGGAATTAGAATTAATATTTACGGTTGATAGTTAGGGTTAGGAATTAGATTTAAGGTTTTATCACGAACTGACATCAGCTATAATGAAAAAACTTTGTTTAGTCAAATGAACGAATTAATTTTGCACCAAAATTCAAGACATGTTGTCACAAATATGATTGGTTCGTCCGTAAATCATAGTCTCACCGATTCGTCATGTTACAAAAGACTCATTGTGCACCATATATTGTTCTTGTAAGGTGATAATTCAACCTATCTATATAATCGTTACTGTTTTTGGTTTATTAATTAGACTACAGTGCCGCCTCACTAATCGTGGTTAACTAAATATATTTCAGATGTCATTGTTCAGAAATTGATTGTTACTCTACTTAATTTAATCAACAGAACTCATCAGAATACAAGGTATATTTTCAATTTACTCTGGAAGGATAAAACTTTTTACTTCTAGCACAGATTATAATGCTATGTAGACTTCTTCGAGACTGTATCTAAATGAGAAAGCCACAGGTATTTTAATTACCTAACGTGTTATTGTTAGATTACTATGAGTTCTCTGGACTACTCAAGGAACTGGGGAAAAGACTCTTGGACTAAAAATTCTACTATATTAATCTTAGCAAACGATTCAAAAACTATAGTGAGGAGTTAAACAGGAACTAGAAAAAGCGTATTTCTATGCGCTGACTCCAAAATGTAAAGTGTCCCAGAAATATTAAACGGTTTGAGACAGTAACCAAAATAATTTCAACTTTGAATGAACAAATACAGTGATATCAAAACGGAAACAAATGTTTCCACTGCAATATGAAACAATAAGGATGAAAAGTAGATATCTAGTAACTAACCTGCACGAAATGAGAACTTTGTGTACGTTTAATCACACATGGACTTAATTCCAAATTAGAGCGTAGATTGGAAACGCTATGAGCTGTCTTAATCATGGATAAATAAATACAGCTAAAATTTGTAACAGAATACATAAATGTATTATTAGGATATACTTAACGATAATGATAGAGTAACGAGAAAACCAGGATATAATGAACTGCGTGGAACAAAATAACAAATTCATACTATCAGTTGACGGCTGGATGGTACGCACGTTCTACAACAACGGATTACGTGTGAAATAAAAGTATGTTAAATTCGCACGACATTTCTTCAATTATTGGCTCAAAAATAATTCGGATAACCTCATTTCGTTTTGGAAGCATTATTTGATGCCTTTGTAAATGGTACAGGAAATCTGATACTTTGAGTACATGGCAAATGCCAATGTGAAAAAGATTACTCACGAATACCTTTTGGTCAATAATCCTTTGGGAGATGAAATAATATCATTGAATCGCAACTATATACTTTTGTTTTATGAGCCAAAGTTAGAAGGTAACCGTATAAAGATAAGGTTGAGTGTTTGTATGGTGCATCTACAAGCTTTGGGTAGCATAAGCTTCTTAAGTAAATTAAAATCATACAATTCAGTCAGTCAGTCAGCTACAACGTAGGACCAGGCACATTTATGCATCGGTCCAAGTTGCCATACCTCATTAACACAAGAAAATGGACACCGGATTCATAAAAGTAGTTAATTCAGAGGTGGTAGTATATAAAAGAAAGATTGCAATAAGGATATAGTACAGGAAGAAAGAATTAGTTCGTAGAAAGAAGGATATGAAGCTATTTTATTCTCTTAGTTTAAGGGAAGATAGAGAGTGTATACACCGACGCCATTGTGATCGATTCTGAGTCATGTCACCAAGAGTCTCCAACCACTGGTTACGACAGTCACGCGGACCCCAACCAAGTAGTCTGCATCTACCAACATGGCTCAGACTAGAAGTTAGTGACTTTAAGCACTGACGCCACATTTTGGTTTGGCCGCCCCTAATTCTCTTCCAACCACCTCTAACACCCGTTAGCATTGCACGACGTGGTAATCGGTGTTCAGGCATACGTAACACGTGGCCCAACCATCTCAGTCGATGAAGATTGACAGCCTCATCAACTGATTTACCATCATTTCCTAATACCCTGCGTCTAACCTCACTATTACTTACCCGGTGATCCCAGCAGACGCCAGCAATATTTCTAAGGCATCTGTGGTCAAATACTAGAAGCTTACGGGTGTCTTCTACTCTTAAGGGCCATGTTTCGCTGCCGTAAATTAAAACAGAACGGACTGCCGCGCAGTATACGCGTCCTTTTATTGATAGACGGATATCTCGCCTTCGCCAAAGGTGACGTAAGTTGGCAAAAGCCAAACGAGCTTTTCGAATTCGTGCTGAGATTTCGTCAGACACCAACCCATTAGGGCTGATCAGAATCCCAAGATAAGTGAAGTCGTCAACGCGTTCGACTACTTCACTCCCTATCCTTAGTTCAGGTGTTGACGCAGACCAGTCCTGAAACAACAACTTGCATTTAGAGGGAGAGAAGCGCATTTCAAACATTCTGGCATTGTTGCTAGGTACTACCAGAAGACTGCATTTATCAGCGTCTTCACCAAACAGGACTATGTCATCTGAGTATTCTAAGTCGATAAGTGGACCTCCTGGAAGGAGATCAATGCCCGAGAATTCAGTAGACGAGAATGTTATTTCCATCAATAAGTCTATGATGAAGTTAAACAAAAATGAAGAAAGTGGACAGCCTTGACGGACACCACTTGAGGTTGCAAAAGATGACAGTTCACCATAAGCTCTGACTCGATTGGTAGTGTTCGAGTAAAGAGGCTTCACAAGGTTTATGTACTTCTGAGGTACGCCTTTCAATGAAAGACACTGCCACAGAATCTCGTGGTCTACCGAGTCAAATGCTGCTTTCAAGTCAAGAAAGACCACCATTGTCGGACGCCGGTAAGTATGCTTATGTTCTAGAACCTGACGAGTGGTGAATATGTGGTCGATGCAGCCACGACCAGTTCCGAAACCAGCTTGATTAGTCAGTCATAAGCAACATATGTGAATTGATCCAGACTATCATACTATTTCAAGATATGAAATTATGAGAAAAAAATAAAGGGATTTACGTGATTAGACCGTAAAATGTGAATTGCACTACTGAAGCACAAAGCAAATTCCACCAGCTTTTAGATCAGATTTAGTGTCAATATTACCCCTGACCCAATAATTATGTATGAGCATTAAAAATGCTACCGTAGGTACAAAGGTGAACACTAATTTTTAGGCGTCAAAATAACTGAGTACACAGAATGTACTGATTCTGAGCACAGAAGTTAAACAAAGAATTTACTGTTGCTAAAAGCTTACTAAGTAAGGTATCAAGAGACACCACATAAAATTAGATGACAGTGCAAAGATATGAGGAAGGCCGTACATATATATTATTAAAACAGTAAAAAATAGAAAAGATCAACAAAAAAGGAAAAATTGTGTTAGACTTATTTAAGTATTTACAGGAAAGAGAATACGCTTACTTCGTTAGTAAAGGAACAGTGTATTATTAAACAACGAAACAGTTAATCAATAAAATCGGTCGTGGACCAGTCAGTCATATACAACGTCGAACCTGGCGCATTGTTACATAGGTTTAAATTGCGATATCTCGTAAGCACAACAAGATGAACTTGGGAAGAAATGTCTCGTGGACACTAACAAACAGACAACGTGATTTTTTAGGTAGAATAGTGCGCCAGATAGCGCTTGATATGCTTAAAGTATCAGTTAACACTAACTCAAAGGTCGATAGAAAGAGTGGAGCATATTAGACGTCCATTAGGATAACAAGTTGCTAAAATAAAAAAACTTCAGAAAATCAAGTAACATCAGACGTTTTTAGGACTTGATAATACCCACAAATCGATTATATTCTCAGACGACGGATACCCATTATGTCACAAATCTAAATAACTGAGGAACCTCGAAGTTTTATGCCACATACACACGGGCAGCATATGCCATGTTGATGATGATTAAACGCGCCGAATACCTAACAACGATTTGAGAAACCAATGCTCAGAAGGGAAGGCATCACAAAGTAAATACGGTCACAAAATCAACAAGGAATTAATGAAGTGTCAAACAACCCTGGTTCTTGCGCGCTCTACTTAAAAGGACAGTGGTATTATTTCTCGTTGAGTTAATTAACTGTTTTGATCGTAAATTACGCATCAAAACTACTGTTTACACTTTAATTGCATCTACCCCAGTTAAAGTGATATTGTATTGAGTTTTTCGATTTTGCTTCTGTGTATTTATTGCATCGAAGCATACTTGGTCGACTTTTACTTGGTTTATTTAGTTAAGGTTTGAAAATCCTTTTACATATCCTGTTTTTGTCACCGTTCTAGTTGATTTTCAAGATGGCTAGGTCTACTCATAAATGTGGACAACCATACTGCTTATTTCCCGTGGATGAAGGGATGCAATGTGATGAGTGTAATAAGTGGTTCCATAAGATGTGCACCCGATTAAGCCCCACTGCATATAAAAGGTGTTCAAAGCCCAACTCTCATTGGCTTTGTAGTTTTTGTTGCTCGAGCAAAACATTGCTTATCCAGGAAGCAATTAGTCTCCTGGTGTTGGCTAATAAGAAGGGATGAAAGGGCTGTACTGATAACATTGGTACGGATGGCGAAGATTGCGTTAGTGTCGTAAGTGCTATCACGGCGCAAGCCAGACATCTACCTGTGCAACCCGCAGTTAAACGTTCTCCCCCGAAACGATCAGTGAGTGACACGTCATTAGACGTTGGTGGCCATATTGCTACAGCAGCAACCGGTGACCCAGATAAAACAATTACTGTCCCGAGTTGTTCTAATGTAGACGTTTCGACTGATGGAAAATGGATGACGCGAAAACGCAGAAGAGTAGGAAAGATAGCTAAAACTAATGACTGTTTACTTGGTAAGTCCTTGGTGGACTCTCAGACCAATCCGCCAAAGTCCCATAGTAAAGCTTCGTCTGACATTGTTGTGAGTCATTCGCTTGACTCCCAGGACTCTGTTAAAATAAAAACTAATCGTAAGCTACCAGTAGTTAAAATACAGGATCTAACGTCACGGTCGAAAGCTGTGAACACAGTTTCAAAAGAAGCTAAACCCCTCCCTAGTTTAATTATTTGGAATCTAGAGGAGTCGAAAGACAACGACCCTGCTAAAAGACACGCACATGACCTACAGTTAGTGGAGTCTGTGGTAAGGAATGTACTACCTGAAGAGGTTTCAGGGGTACATATTACAAAAGTAATACGACTTGGTAAATGGGTTGGAGGCGAGACCCAACCAAGAAGGATCCTGAAGCTGGTTCTCGGGAGTTTCGAAGAAAGAGACATATTATTGAAAAGCGCACTAAAAACTCGTGCCTCAAATATCCGTATTCGACCAGATTGGCCGCTTGAGGATCGAATCAAGTGGAAGAATGCTCTTACGGAGTTGAGGACTCGCAAATTAAATGGCGAAAATAACCTTACCATTAAGGGTTTTCGGGTAGTCAGGTCTTGGAAGCCAATGCTTCCGAGGCCTGTATGGGTAGAACGATTGATTTCCAAAACACCTTAAGTGTGTGCTACACGAACGCTCGTAGTCTTAGAAATAAAACGTCCGAGCTAAGTCTGATGGTGCAAGAATTATGTCCCGATATAATCGTTGTTACAGAAACTTGGTTCACCGTTGATATAGACTGTTCTCCTTTCATTGCTGGTTATATCTGTATCAGAAGTGATAGAGTTTCAAGTCGCAAGGGGGAGGTATAATATTTTACGTTAGGGATCACTTTCGTATACAATCAACCATATCGGAGGCTCATATCAGTGGCACATGTGAGGTTGCATGTTGTAAGATTAAATCTAGAAATGGGTTAGTGACTATAGGGGGAATATACCGTAGTCCGTCTTGTCTGGCTGACGACTTTATCCTAAGACACATCTGTTCTTGGAGTATGGCAGAATGTTGTCTCATCATTGGGGACTTCAACGCACCGCATATCAACTGGATAGAGCTTACAGCTCCAGGTAGTGGTTTCGATAGCGACCTTTTATCTACCGTTATTCAGTGTGCACTTGTACAATGTATCACAAAACCGACACATATTGATTTGCATCATGTTCCGTCACTGCTGGACCTCGCCCTCACCCACCACTCTGAGGATGTCTTTGATATCCAGCACCTTCCTCCACTAGTGAACAGTGATCACGTTGTAATTCACTTTAAGTTTAGGACACATGGTATACAATTCGTATCTGCTCCACCCCGTCCCAATATCTGGCGAGCTAATATTCCGGAAATCAGAAACCGTGCTATCTCGACTGATTGGTCGGTCGACGCGGATGGATTGATCGAAGATGAATGGAATAAGTTTAAGGCTACATTCGAGTCCGTAACGTCGCCGTTTATCCCATGGTCAGCACGTAAGCTATCACATTGCCCTCCATGGATTAATAAGGAAACCCGGAAGCTGTTAAAGCGTAGGAAACATTTCTGGGACTTATTCTTGTTGACAGGTCATGCACCATTTAAGCGTGAGTATCAAAAATACCGTAATATCTGTAAGAAAACCATAGCGAAATCCCGTACCACTTACGAACGACAGTTAGTATATGATAGCCGTACTTGTCCGAAACGATTGTTTTCGTATGTTAAACGGCAAATGAAACGTAGTGATGGTATTCCCCCGTTGCTGTTACACGAAAATTCAGAATTACTAGCTGAATCAGATCGAGCAAAAGCTGAGACTTTTTCAGATTATTTTAGCGAAGTCTTCTCTACGTTTATTGTAACAAATACTTGTCCCACTCACACCGAGATACCAACCATTGAATCCGTACAGGTGACTGAGGAAACTGTCCTTCCGTTGATAACTAACCTCAAACCTGGTAAGATACCGGGCCCTGACGGGTTACATCCACGGTTGCTGTCATCTCTTGCGGACATTATTTCAAAACCGCTTGCGACACTCTTCAACATGTCCCTCTCACTCGCCCAACTCCCTAGAGATTGGAAGGACGCTATAGTTAGTCCTATATTTAAGGACGGTCAGCGACAGATAGTATCTAACTACCGGCCTGTCAGTCTAACTAGCATAGTCGTTAAGTTACTCGAAAAGATAATTCGGGTTAGGTTGCTAAGCCACATAGATTTACACAATCTGTTAGCTCCTGAGCAACACGGATTTCGTAACAAGCGTTCATGCTTGACTAACTTGCTTATTGCGAGGGAGGATTGGACAGCAGCCCTAGATCACGGTCTGTCTGTCGACGTGATATTCATAGATTTTAGCAAAGCGTTTGACAAGGTTTCACACGTAGGTCTTATGCAGAAGCTCACGAGCTTCGGAATAATAGGTACTGTACATGAGTGGATAGGAAATTTCTTATGTGACCGCAGACAGAGAGTTAGGGTCAATGGAACGCTATCCGATTGGAAGCCGGTCAAAAGTGGTGTACCCCAAGGCACCATCTTAGGCCCTCTGCTCTTCCTTCTCTACGTTAATGAGTTACCACTGTTACTTAGGTCGTCGACATTATTGTTTGCAGATGATGTAAAAATCTGGAGAACAATAAAAAGTGCGGCTGATCATGTGGATCTTCAAGCTGATTTAGACGATTTAGTTAGATGGGCTCGAGAGTGGGGCTTAGAAATCAATGCTAGGAAGAGTGTACTAATGCACGTCGGTCACGGTAATAGTTACCGTTACACTATTGAGGGTAAACCTCTTCCATGCGTTCAAGAGCATAAGGACTTAGGAGTAATATTAAGTCATGACTTAAAAACAACTGCGCATTGCAAAGCAGCCGCTGTCAAAGGTTTTCGTGCGTTATGGTCACTTCGCCGAGCGTTCAAATCTTTTGACGAGGAAACGTTTCGAATTTTATATCCCATATATGTTAGACCACATTTAGAGTACTGTATCCAAGCAGCTAGCCCGTGTCTAGTAAAGGATACTAACTCCCTTGAGCGTGTCCAGCGTGTGGGAACGAAATTAGTGAAGGGTCTTTCTAGACTCCCTTACGATGAGCGCTTAAAACGCCTAAATCTTTTCCCCTTGTCGTATCGTAGGACACGAGGTGACCTTATACTGGCATTTCGTATCTTTAATTATGATTTGGGTGTTAATATGTCTTATCTTTTTGCTCCCTCCAGCACTAATAATCTCCGAGGTCATAGCAAGAAGGTTCATAAACCACGATCTAATAAACTTAAAGTGGGATCCCGTTTTTCTCATCGAGTAGTCAATCATTGGAACGCCTTACCCGAACAAGTGGTATCAGCCCCATCAGTGAATACTTTCAAGGAAAAGCTGGACCTTCACTGGAAAGCAATGTGTCAGGATTAACACAGGTTCATCAACCTACTATCCTTATTACTGAAGACTGAAGACTGGTATTCGGAAAAACGTAAGGCATATTGAGATTAAAATACACTGTACATATTATACTAAACAAGATCACTATGTGGACCTTGAAGTCTCACCAATCAAATGATACTTCTTTAATGATACAAACCAACAATAAAACCAGACCCAACTCACTCGGACGGCAAAATCACACAATGAACAAAATGAGTCCACGCGCGCATACAGAACCAAATGCAAAACCGTCAAGGTCACATATCGGCATGATAAAACGACGTGACAAATTCTTAGCACCATAAATCATTAATGTTCGTTAAGTCACATTATCTTAAAGCTATAAGACCCGAATTTAGTGAAGTAGATTCAGTTCGATTTAGAGTGAATCTGGGGAATGGTCTATAACGAGTGGGCAGGTATATCACAGGTTGATATGTTGATACAGAACGCCATACAGTCCATTTTCCTGTCCTCTTAGAGATTAAAAAACATATTTTAAACAGGTTTTTTCAATACAATTCATAGCTTATTCCACGAAATCTCATTGTTTGCTAGTTTTTCCCGTAAAATGTTTGGCTGCGTTACATCACAAACCCGAAGTTAATCTGCTCTCCGTTGAATACATTAATAATAGACCAAATGATTTCGCAGCAGTGACTTGTGGGCAAGTGTCACGTTTCTAGCATTCTTTGAAATGTTTTAAGATGTATATTGTTTAGTTAATTCTATGTTGCATCTATATGAAACCAAAACATCCGCCAACTTAGGCTGTCTAGCCAAATATACTAGGTACCAATAATAAGACTAGACGCGCGGCATAATAATACTAAATGGCCGTCTTCTTTTGTTCCTGTATGGTACTTACGATAGCCCTTTCTAAGTTATTTCATTCGTATGAATAGTTTATACTAATATTCAGTCTAAACCACAGACGCTCTATCAGCTATCTATGTAACTGTGCAGTCAAAATAATGGTTGTTAACATGCAATTGATATGCAGGGTTGGAGGACATGATAAAAATATTTGTAGTTGATCCTAAAATTCTTGTTTTCCATTCATTTACACGTTTTCATCGGCTTCTATGGGAGCAAGTAGAAGCAATGCATAAGAATGAAACCGCAAAAACTGAAAACTATTAAAAGCAATTGTAGCCAATGTCTCCATATCTCAGTACTCCTATAATCAATTTATTTACATAGACAAAGAAAGTTACAGGAGAACTGAAGACATTTGGCGGATTAAAACCTTTTTATTTTATATTAATAATTTACTGTGTTTTTGGATGTATTTGTTTTACTTAGCCTTTGAACATGTTTGTTTTCATCATTAATTCGAACATTTTAGTATACCTTTGTCGTTGGTGTGGTATTTGATAGTTTTGCTCCGGGAACCTACAAAATTGAAGGTTTGTCTTGTAATTGTTATAATTATTGTTGTTAGAACGACATTTGGTCGACTATTTGTGAATGTATGTAATAGTTTTTATAATGTTTGTGGTTAGTACAAGAGATAGAGATTAGACCTGTTGTGTTGGACTTAGCAGACGTTCATACCTAAACTGCTGCTTCAGAAAGAACAGAATCATATTTTGTAAACCTAACCTCTACGTTGAAAACGTTCCCCATAACCGTAGCAGCTGATGTCACGCAATGTTTGACTTGTGCAAATATGAAACAGATCACCCAAATTACATACTATATACGCTTACAGAAGTCACTCTAAACGCACAAAACATCACATTTCCCCACAAACTGTGATTACGCCTGCTGTATTCAGTGTATATTGACGTAAACTTAACAATCAGGATATACGTATTTGTCATGTGACCGCGTTTATCTACATGATCCAAATACGCTACATGTGCAGGTACTTCCCATTACGAAGAGTTTCCGCGTCTAACTCTTATCGACAGAAGACACCCATCTCGAATTCCTACTTTTGGCCCACAATACTCTGTTTTAAAACGGCAAAACATCCTACTAACCTCTGATACAGAAATACGCTAAACCAAAGTCAGCTATAGCCATTAAATATCAGGCGATTGCAACCTCTGGTGTCAGACTTTGCCTCATATGCATACAGAAAGCGAAGTTTAATGATATATATTCCAATGTATTTATAAAGATGTACCTACAAACGTTAACAAAAACTTATGTAACTGGGTAACAGCATTATTCTAATTCACTAAAAGTAGATATTATTTCAAAATATGATTCATCAGTTCGCGCAGTTTCATTCTGATCATGCTCAAGGGAAGAGTATTAACTAGACTCTACCGGTCGTTAACAGTCAGATGCAGAAATTGTTTAACTCATGATCGTGTGGTGCGTATAATTTCGAATTAAGCGTTCTGAAATCCAGAAAACTATAATTTGAAAAGATCAGTGATGACCACCTTGAACTGTGGTTGTATGTATGCAGTTTGGCCAAAGTGGATTAAAGTAACCCCAAACCTATCTATTACCTAGACAAACTGATAGACTTGGTGTAAGTTTAACTTGATAAGGTAGATTAATTACCTTCAAAGCCACCTCAAGTACATGGAAGCCTAAATTATAATAATTACAAGCGCCACAAATGAACAATGTTAAGTTGTTCGGTTTGGGGGTAAATTCTAAAATGCGCTCGTAACTAACAAATCGAACAGCTAAATCATTTTAACCATATAAATGCTTGTGTATTTTTCAGATGCTTGACTCCGGTTGCTTTTTTCCATTGTGTTTCATTACCTGGCTTCGCAATACATTTTGTTGTTTTTTAGGTTACTGACCACAACTGTCGTTAAAATTTATATTTTTCTTTGCGTTATCCCAACAACAGATATGTAATAACTTTGCACGTTAACGTATCAAACACCACTAATGCACACAAAATGATAGATATATATTTGTACGTGTGCAAAATGCATCTCAGAAAAGAGTATCGTGAACTAATGGTCCTTTTGTACTTGACAACTGCCTGATCTTGAATTCCAAACACAATGCGTTCTTTTGTGCTCATTTAGTCCTTCTTGGCCCAAATTACACTGTTTCGGGAATTCTTAGATCACGTAATGATTCAAATACGTTACGATCGAGTCTGTAATGAAACAGTTGGACATACGTTCAAATTCATTGAGGGGTTGTAGAGCAGATCACGAAGAAGAGCTTATGTTCGAAAAATGATTGTTCTGTGGAAGATTTCCATCATGTAATTTACGTAGGTTTCGAAATGCTAAGTGCTTTGAATGTGGTAAAATTGGACACATACGGGTAGTTTAGAATACCACCATACATTTTGTTGCAACTTATGCAAAACTTTATAACCTCGATCCTATTATGTCTAATGTTTTAAATGAATCATACTGTGATCATGTTCATGATATTATTTCATAGCAGCTCACGTACAATTGAGGTTGTTCACATTTAATTGGGTTAAACCTTTTCTTAACTTATTTAACAGACAGAGTCATTCGTAAAAAAACAACTTATCTATATCATTGTATCTTTAATATTGTTGCACTCGTATGGGTTTGTATGCTTCAGCATCGCATACTGCCCATGCATATATTCATTCTGCTAGCCTTACTATTAGTCGTTTAATTGATTCGATGATTCATTTATTTTACTATGTATATATAGGTAAATTGTAATCCTGTTCACTCTCTTACTCACTCGCTTTCCCACTTGCTTTTCAGCACTTCTCTTTCATACTTGCTTAACGTACCTTTAATTTTGGTGATTTGTGCCTGGTGTAATCATAAACGCGACCAACACTTCGTACTCGTCTTCCTATTTATACACCGTCGGGGACATTATCTAGTGACGGTTATCAGGACGAAATGTACACAAAGTTTAAAGATTATATCGAGTACCGACCACCATAATTTTACCAGATGTGTGTTCTCATGATTCATGTATGTTTAATGAAATTACTCAAAATATGTCGAAGACATATCGAGTGTGCCAAAACCCTGATCAGATCTCTAACGTTATTTTATCCGATGTCGTCTCTCCTAATGATTCACTTATTTCTTGTGAAATATAAATTAAATGCGAGGAACAAGTTCTAAATGAGTTAAAACCTAAATACAGTTCTTATGGTGTTGCGTCATGTGTTACTTGTCCTTACAATGGATTTATCTCTAGTCTTATTATTAATCGCAAGCCACTCTTCTCGCCCATCCCGATCCATCAGCCACGCTTAGTATAGCGGTTGATGCATCCGATGTTGCTATAGGAGCAGTCATGCAACAAAACATCTCCGGTAGTTGGCAACCTCTCGAGTTTTTCTCACGACGCCTCACTACCACGGAGACGAGATATAGCGCTTTTGGTCGCGAGCTGCTAGCAGCCTACTGCGCCATCAAACATTTTCGGCACGCAGTAGAAGGACGTCGATTCATTTTATTCACCGACCATAAGCCCTTAACGTATGCTTTGCATACCAAGTCTGACCGCTACTCACCACGAGAGTGCAGACATTTGGACTATATCTCCCAGTTCACGACAGACCTTCGTCACATCCAAGGCAAGTCGAACTGTGTTGCCGATGCTCTATCACGAATCCAAATGAATGCAGTTACCCTGCCGGTGCTCGATCTTCCTGCTATGGCCGCTGCCCAAGCAAACGATCCCAGCTGTACAAAGCACCACACTCTACGTCTCTTCAGTATCAGGAAGTACCTCTAGCCACGACTTCTGGCACCATTCTATGTGATACTTCTACCGGTCTTCCTCGACCCATCGTACCCTCTGCTTATCGCCGTCTCGTTTTCGATGCCCTGCATGGATTATCTCACCCAGGTATCGCAGCTACATTACGCCTCATCGCTGCACGATACGTCTGGCCGTCCATGAATAAAGATGTTCGTATGTGGGCTAAGCAATGCTTACAATGTCAACGATCAAAAGTGCACAGGCACGTAGCCGCCCCCCTCGGTACATTCGCTACGCCTGATGCTCGCTTCGATCACGTTCACTTAGACATTGTAGGACCACTGCCACCATCGCACGGGTATGATCACATACTCACGTGCATCGACCGCTTCACCAGATGGCCCGAAGCTATACCCATCACGTCTATCACGGCGGAGACAGTTGCTCACCGCTTCGTAGAACGATGGATAGCTCTATATGGTTGTCCCTCGACTGTCACGACTGACCGAGGACAACAATTTGAGTCCGCACTATTCTCCTCACTTACTCGGCTGCTTGGTACGGAACGAATACGCACTACCGCCTACCA